AGCCAGGGATGATGGTGGTGGCTTAGCGCCAGGAGCCACTCATGGAGAAATGCTGGCAGCAGGAAGCAGGGGAGAGGCCAATGCAGGATGATGTTAACCGGTTAGTGAGGATCTGCTTGTATAGGAATAAACCAGCCCCCCAAATCCACCCTGGTAAAGCCGAAGAGACAAGTGCTATCTCATCCCCTAGAGTAAAGCAATAAAATACGCAAGATCCTCTGAGTCTGAGAATGCCAGTTAATGAGACTGCTTGTCATTCATGCATTTTGTAATGTCGTGTGTTCAACGGGCCATTTTTTATTACCTCTGGTTCTACAAAATGCTTTGCCTTCCAGGGAGTGTTGGTGAGGGAGATTAGACTTAGAGGGAAGCTATGGCCTAGACAGGACATAGTTACTTTTAACCCCAAAACTGAGTGTTCACTGCTGTCAGCATATTTTGGTAATGAGGGCCATCAACAGACAATGCATCTGTTAGTCAGTGATCAAAGAGAAAATGAAAGTGTGTCCCCGTCCGTGTAAGGGACCCTGCAGCCTTGTCTAGGACGTTTGTGTCTCTCCTTCGATCAAACAGATGATCGGAGAGGAGCCAGGCTGCAAATGCCACGCGCTTCCATGCTCTCGGTGTGCTGTGTGGTGAGGAGGCCGGGTGTGAACAGTGAGGTCTGAATTGTCACTCGAACGCATGAAACCAAAAGACCCATATCTTTGGCAAAGAAAAGTTTCAGCTGCTTAGTTTTCTCATGCTCAGCTGTGTACTTAGGTGGCTAGTTTGAGTATCACTTGCATTTTTCTTGTTGCTCCTTCACCCTGTGCCCCTTCCCAACTGCCGCAGGCTCCGAGTTCAGGGGAGGAGGTCCTGACCTGGGCTGCAGGTGGGGCTGCTCCAGAGCAGGAGCAGCAGTGGGTGGGTCTGGGAGACCCTTTCCAGTCCACACACAGCATGGGAGCCTCCCAGTTCTACCTCTTGTCTAATATCTCTTCTTGTGTTCCTGAAAGTTGGTTGGCTTTTATTTACTCTCAAAAGCACTTCTCATAGATTATAAACAAAAATAATGCCATTAGGTCAACTCCAGCGCACAGTGACCCTGTTTTAAAAGCAGAACTTGTTGCCTTCTCAGTGGCTCCAGCTCAGAGCCAGTAATCGTCCTGTGCCAGGTTCTGACAGGAGGAGACGGGCTATGTTTCTTGTCAGGGAGGCGATGGGTTCGAACCTGTTTGGTTAGCTGCACTGCACAGTATGGACTGTGCCACCAGAGCATCCACAGGGCAGGGTACAGTTGTCTCCAGGGGCCTCCAAGGCTGCCAGTCCTTCAGAAAGGAGACTGTGCTCTCCTGTGCTGATGGGTTTAAATGACTGACCCTTAGTCAGGTCACAGCAGAAATCATTTTCACCCACAATTTTAGACATCGGTTTTTAAGATCTCAACCCTTCTAGTGTTGCTGTTGAGGAGCGTGGGCTGTTGGCCCGCAGTGTCCCTCTGTTGGGGCCACTTTGTTTTCCATGTGCTTCCTGTCTGGTTCTCCCTATCTGTGAGTTCTGAGTGAGGAGTGTCATGCTTCATTTCTTTGTGAGTTCCTCCTCTCAATTGTCCTTCTCTTCTCTGTTCTGGAGCTCTGTTGGGTGGATGTCCTATCTGTGACTTTAGGATTGCACAGGGACATGGTCTTATTTCTCAGTTCTTTTTCCCCCCAAACCTCGGGGTTTTGCCTCCCTTTGCTCTGCTGGTCAACTCCCCCATTCCATTTGCTTTCCTTCTGTCTGTGCGGTGTTTAAGAATTTGAAATATCTCCTGGTCTTACTCATAATTCAATTTGTGTCTGTTTCTTATTCTCCCTGTTCGTTGGTGACGGTTTTGCAGACGCTGAGGAGTGTATAACTCTGCTATCTTAGAAACAGCAGTCTTGGCATACTTTTTAAAGCACACCTCCTAGCTGTCACTGATTAGATTAGTCTTTGAAAGCCCTCTGTGTTGGCTGGAATGTGGAATGCGAGGTGCTGTGACCGGGACTGCTGTGTCCCTTGCCACCTACACATTGCATTCATATGCTCTGCCCTCATGTTCAGCTTTTTAACTTAACCCATCTTTTTGTGTCCTGGCCAGGCTGCATTAATGTGTTCTGATGGAGATAACAGTGTTGTCTGTGCTGTGTAATTAGTGAGAAACGTTGAAAGTCCTGCCTTTCAGGCTAAAGACTCGTGAGCTCTTGTGGATCACTGGAGCAGACAAGCAAGTGCTGCAGGAGTATAATAGAAGAGTGTGGCCAGTGGCCCCAGCCACACTGTGGGTGTGACAGGTATTCCAGTTTCCCTCAGCGAGTAACAGCCATTACTCAGACTCTTCTGATATGTAACCCTTAACTTTGCCTTATATCTCTGAAGTTTTAGACAGTTCTTGGGCTTATACTTGGAAGTATTTTCTAATCTGCTAGATTGTGCGAGTTGCTGTATTCAGTGAGCTTGATGCTGTGCCACAGCTTGGTGCAGGATACACTGTGGTCTCCTGGGGGCCCGCCAGGACAGAGCTGCTCCTGACCATAATGCAGCCATGGACAGGAGATGCCTGGCCAGGCAAGGAGTGTTACAGCTTAATAGCTCAAGTACTGTAATTCCAACATGCTATTAATATTTTTGAAAAATGAATGACATATTTTACATATATGCTTATTTTATATTTACAGTGTAACTCAATTCTGATACTAAGTTTTCACCCAAAATACCTGCTCTGTTTGTCAATTTCGTTGTTATAAAGGAAGATGCCCATATGCAAGGTGCTATAAACATACATTACAAAGAAATGAGTGTTAGTTAATAGCGGTTGAATGTGGTTCAGTTCTGGGTCCACTAGCTGCATTGCCCAGAGTTCCTGTGCTGGGCAGGATAGCACCCCAGGACTTAAGGGAGGAATCTTGCAAAGGTAGAGTCAGAACCAGTACAGAAAGTGTCCTACAGGCATTCATGGTTTATTTCTGTTAAGTGTCATCAAACGTAGTAACTCTGTCAACAACAGTTCTGAACCTTGCCCTACCCTTCCCCATCCCCATGGTCTCTGTCACGGTAAAGCCCATTCTGGTGCTCAGTGCTTGTCAGTCCAGCTTGTTGAAGATCTTCTCTTTCTCTGAGCCTCTATCTTTCCAAGTCTCCAAGGACCAGTTCCTCTGGAAAATATGCCCAAAATAAGTAGACATAGATTCCCCATCCTTTCCTCTAAGGCGCACCATGGCAGCGCTTCCTCCAAGACAGATTTGTTTGTTCTGTTCTAAGTCCATGGGACGGTCAGTGCTCTTTACCAACACAAAGGGAAAGGCGAAGATCTGTCTTCCTAATTCATTGTCCAACTTGCAGTGCAGGAAGCAGTTGAAAAGATCATGACATGGCTTAGGCACATCTTAGTCTTTAAACTGATAATCTCGCTCTTCAGCACTCTGGAGAGTGCTGAGGAGGCCGGGTGTGAAATATGCTTGATAGCATATTTTCCCAGTGCAACACATCTTTTGATTTCCTGCCTACTGCTACCACCAGTATTGATTGTTGATCCAAGTAGAATGAAATTGTTGATAGCTTCAGTCTTTTCTCCATTTATCCTGATGTTGCCTGCTGGCCCAGTGGTGAGAAATGTTGTTTTCTTAATGTTGAGATGACACCCATGGTATCAGAAGACACTGAAAAGTTTTAAGCTTGAAAGCTTCCTCCCATGGCAGCTCAGCTCCAGATAGTACTGTGCCTGGAAGGCGCACACTTCTTAGACCCAGCAGCCATATGTCTGAAGGACCCTGTGCCTGGGCATAAAGCTCAGGGGTGGGAGAGAAGGAACTGGTCACACAGAGGAGAAGTGGTAAGAGTCCTGTGAAACAGTCACAGTCTGTCATGAAGCTGAATGTGTATATATTTGTTGAATTGAAAACTGATTTGCTATAAAAATTTTCACCCAAATCAGAAAAAAAAATTTTTTTAAGAAGTGAATTTCTCATACATGAGTCGTAATGAAGAGGAAAGCAATTAGAGGCTACAGTCCCAACATCGTAAACACTGTAGTTAAAATGTGCTTCAGAGGACCTCAGATGTGGCCAAATTCCCTTACTGACTAAGTGAACAGATTTTCTGTTAGGCCTCGTTTACCGGGGACTTTCTCGAGGAGTGAAGCTTGAGGACAGAAGAAGCCTGCTCCTCCTGCTTGATGTGGCTTGTTGTGTGTGTCTCCTGGTGTCACTAAGGTGTGATTGGCGTGCAGTCAGCACACACACCCAGAACTCAGTTTGCCAAGGTTTCACACATACAAGATAAGGAACATTTCTAACATCCAGAAAAGCTCGTGTCATTGATTGGAGATTTTTATTTGTAGAATCTCTTACTCTTTAAATCAGAAATGAAGAGTTTGGAGAGTGTGATCAGGGCTGTCTGCGCTCTAACTACAGTGCTTGTCATGTCCAGAAGAGCATTTGACCATGCTGACCGTGTTACACAGCCTGCAGGGCCCTGGGCCCTGACTTGTGCATAGTGTTCATCTATTGAGTTGCTTTTTAAACCCCTTTTCCATTGCGGGTGAGTCAGAACTGGCTCATAGCTAACCCTCCAGTGGCTTTGAGAGGCTGTAAATCAAGTCACTGGTAATTTGAACCACCAGCTTTTGGTTTGGCAGCGCACCTAGATCACCAGCTCATTATTGAGTTGCTTGGTGAGGGCCGTGGAGGTGAACTGTCACTGTCCCTCGAGTCTCCCACTGCTCTAGTAGCTGGTGCAGCTCTGCCACAGCAGTGCCCCTGGCTGGTGAGTGGTAAGAGGATACACAGGCTGCCCGCCAGGCTCTCGCCTCTGGTTCTCCTGCAGTAACCGTTGCAGATGATGGTGCTGGGCGGGCCCTCAGGGCTGGGACACTCCATCCTAGGGAAAGTCGAGTGTGTCTGTAGGCACTGTCCAGGTGGAGCCACAGGGAAACCCTGCGTGCAGCACAACTGCGCCGTCCGTGCCTCCGTGTCACCCACCATCCTGTCTGCCCACAGAGGGTGCTCCGAGCTCTGCCGTATCCCCATGGTGGAGTACAAGCTGGACAGCGAGGGCACGCCGTGTGAGTACAAGACGCCCTTCCGGAGGAACACCACCTGGCACCGGGTGCCCACCCCCGCGGCCGTGCAATCCCTGCCGCGTGCCTCGCCGGTGCCCGGGACGCCTGACCGGCTGCAGTGCCAGCCGCTCCTCCAGCAGGCCCCGGCCGTCCCGCGCAGCGCCTCCTTCGACCGCAAGCTGCCCGATGGCACCAGGTAAGTGGGCAAGTAGTGGGGTCTCGTCATTTCACCCCCCTCTTCTAAGTCACCTGGTCTGAATGAAGCGGCCAGCAGGAGGACACACAGGCTCCACACCTAGTGTGTTGGGTCACTTTTCTCCTGGCTTATGCTGTCTTTGCGCCCAGCTCCCCAGGGCGATAGTGGTTCTTCTCTCTGTCCTTGGCCCCATGGCCATGTGCTCACCACAGCCTGGGGAAAGGGATCCTGGGGATTAAAGTGCATGTGCCCCACCATACATGTAAGTGTACTATTGAATATGGATGAAACAGGACCACCCCAGCAAAGTCAGTGGCTGAGAGCATAGCTGTTAGCTTTGTATCAATAGTATCGTTACCATTTCTTCTTTGATTTTTTCTCTTATTTGAAATAGAGTGGAGATTAGCTTAAAATTTCATTTTTCAATGAAAGAATTCACTTGTTTAGAAGCCGGCGACACTTTGTATGTGCATAATATGCTTAGCTCATTTCAAGTGAACACAGGTAGATGTATTACACGTTCCATTCTGGATTATTGTCCCACGCCATCGGGTGTGGGCACGAGCTGTGAAGTCTCACAGCCATCCATCTCCAGGATCTAGTCAGGTGGAGAACAAACCCTAGCTCCCGCTTACTTGATGTGGCCAGCTACTGATCTCCAATTTCTTCCTCTAAAGATGAAAATAATAATGATAGAACTATTATTTCATATCATGAGCATTCAGCAAGAATTATCTGTAAAATGCTTAAACCTGTACCTGGCACATAATAAGCTTGTAAGTGTTAGACCTAATTGATTGAGAAAATGATGGAGATTATGATCATCTTCTGTTTCCTCTACTTTGTTTTTTCCCAGGTGACTCACTTTCACTTGGGCATTTTCACTGGCCTGTCTTTACTCTGCATCTTCCTCCTCACAAGTCTGCTGGGTTTATTTAGTGTTCAGAACCTCATACATAGGTAGTCCAGGATGACATGCGATCAGGATGGTCTGCAGAATCCATTTGTTGAACTAAAACTTAGTGAATTAAAGGGAAATACTAGGAGGAGTCTGAGAGTGAAAGAAAACTTTGGCAAGTTCATTTGCCTGTGTTCTTAAGTTTTATTCACTTTGTACCTGAAAAAAGAGTGTGGAAACTATATAACAATATCATTGATTTCACATGCAGGCAAGATTCTACTGAAGATTATCCAAAAATGACTGGAACAGCACATCAGCAGAGAACTGCCAGAAGTCCAGGCTGGGTTTAGAAGGGGTCGTGGTACAAGAGATATTGTAGCTGATGTTAGATGGATCTTAGCTGAAAGCAGGGAATACCAGAAGAATGTCTATCAGTGTTTTATTGACTATGCAAAGGCATTTGACTGTGTGGATCATAACAAACGGTGGCTGACTCTGAGAAGAATGGGAATCCCAGAACACTTGATTGTGTATACTTGGACCAAGAGGCAGTCGTCAGAACAGAGCAAGGAAACACTGCATGGTTCAAAATTGGGAAGGGTGTATGCCAGGTGTGTCCTGTCTCCATACCTTTTCAACCTGTATGCAGAGCAGATTATCTGGGAGGCTGGGCTCTATGAGGAGAAATGTGGGATCAAGATTGGTGTAAGATCTATCAACAGTCTGCATTACGCAGATGACATAACCCTGCTTGCTGAAACTGAAGAGGACCTGAAATGCTTGCTGCAGAAGGTCAAGGACTGCAGCCTTCAGTATGGATTGAGGCTCAATGTTAAGAAGACAAAGATTCTCACCACTGGACCAATTGGCAGGATCAGGATGGATGGTGAAGGGATTGAGATTGTTCATAGCTTTAGTTTGCTTGGCTCCACAGTCAACACTCTTGGCACCAGTAGCCAGGAAATAAAAAAACGTATCATGATGGGAAAGTCTGCTGTTAGGGACCTCTCCAGGGTACTGAAGAGCAGTGGTGTCACTCTGGAAACTAAGGTGTGTCTGATACAGGCTGTGGTCTTTGCAATCACTTGGTATGCATCAAAGAGTTGGACAATGACTAGGGAGGATAGAAGGAGAATTGGTGCCGTTGAGCTATGGTGCTGGAGAAGAGTTTTGAGTGTACCATGGACTACTAGGAAAACAAACAGATTCATCCTGGAAAGGGTTAAACCGGGTAGCTTTTTGAAGGCAAGGATTCTGAGACTCCATCTAACATACTTTGGACATATTGTAAGGAGGGACAGGTCCTCGGAGAGGGACATCATGCTTGGTAGGTTGGAGGGACAGCACAGGAGAGGAAGACCCTCTATAAGGTGGATTGATTCAGTTACTGGGGTAATCGGGATGGGAGTGTTGGAGACAATGCGATGGGCACAGGATAGAGCAGGGTTTAGGGCTATTGTACATAGGGTCGCTATGAGTCGCAAGCGACTCGACAGCACATAACAACAATAACAACACCTGAAAAAAGATGACTAGAATTGCATTCAGAAAGCATGGGAAATGGTTTTGCCAAAATTAGGTTTTCCCATATAGAATAAGGGAACTCTGGTGGCATCGTGGTAAGGAGCTGGGCTGCCAACCTAAAAGCATATGGTTCCAGCCCACCAGCTGCTCCAAAGAGGAAATTTCCCATGACATTTACTGCCTCTAAAAACATACTGGAGGATCAGCTGTGGGTTCTGACTGAACAGAAAAGAACCAAACGTTGACATTAGCTAAGTGTCCTACAACAGGAAGTCCTGATGTGTGCACAGCACTGTGTTCCTGGGATTGTATGGTGTCTCACTGAAATTATCACTGAGGTTTCCATTTCTTGGAGGGAAAGGCTCCAACCTGCCCATATCCTTTCCTTTAATTTATCACCAGCCATAAAACACCCGACAGCTCACAGTACCATCAACTTTGAGTTGATTTATCCATGGTTTATTCTGTTTTACATTGCAGTGAATATCTGTCCCTTTACTTTGTCATTGTAAAAAATGCATTTATTTGTAAAACAAAACAGGCCAGGAGGTCAAGCTGTTGATCCTCTGCAGACCCCCCAGAACACTGCTAATGATTCTGGTCAACATTGCAGAAGTTCGCCCAGCAACCAGTCCTCGTCCAGCGACCCAGGGCCCGGCGCCGGCGGTGGCCACTGGAGACAGCAGATGGCCTATGACGGGTACTGTCCTTTTCGTGATGCCGGGGCTTTGGGAGCAGCATGTGTCCGCAATGCCTTAGAGAAGCATTATGCTGTAGAAACAGGTCCATAAGCCACAAATACACAAGGCCTGGCTCTCAGTCAAATGACTTACTGAGGTTGGCGAGCACATTCTGTCTGTTCAAGGAAGCATATGTGTTTCTGGGTCCCGAGCCCTTTTTTGTTTTCTATTTAATACAGAGGAAAGGCTTTCTTCTTAAAGTGTGAGCTTAAAGGACTTGAGGGCCTCTGTGTGCCCTCATCACGCTGAGGACTTTCTCACTCACTGGGTGAAGAGTTCCTTTGCCAACGCCAGGGCAGGTGGTTTGAATCCACCAGCTGCTCCAAGGAAGAAAGATGAGCAGTCTCCTTCCATTGACTTAGAACCCCTGAAAACTAGCAGGAGCATCAGCTGTGAGTCAGTTTCGACTCTATGGCAGTGAAGGTTTTTTTATGAGCAAATAGCCAGCAAAGAATCTACTCACAATTGTCCTGTAGGTGTAAGTTCTCTGAGACACCACTGGGAATAGAGGGGGCACCATAGCATTTGACGCCTTAACAGCTCTGCTCTGCAGTAGGCGGCCACTGCTCCTGGCAACAGTGTTTGCAGTGTTGCTTCACAGCAGCTCCTGGAGCATCCATGGCTTGGAAGGAGCTGTACAGGAATGTGTCGGAAAGAATGTGGATGTGAGAGGAGACACTTGTGTTTCCAACCTATGTGGGCAAAGGGCCCCTCTCTCCCTGACACCCTCGCCTCTCCAAGTGGGGTCTAAAATTAGCATCTGTGATCTGGGCTGTGTATGTTAGCACCTATGTAGTAGATGTGTTTCTGCAAAGTTCAATGTGGGGTGATTTTTAGAAACTAAGTTCAATTGAAAAGTAGAGAAGAGTTTTGTATCAAACCCCTCCCCTACCACTTTTCTGGTTTCTTTCTTCTGTAAGGTTGTACTTTTGGATTTTGGATTTTGAAAGCAAATCAATTCTATTTTGTATTTCTTAAAAAATAAGTTACCATAGGGAAATATTGGTGCCATATATAGTAGATACAAGGAAAAAAAATATAATTGATTGACTTTAAACGTAGGGAGTAAGGAGTTGGCACTGCTATTCCAAAGATAGGTGGTTCGAATCCATCAGCTGCTCTGAGGGAGAACTATGGCAGCCAATGCCCATGTGCGTTACCGCCTCTGCAAACCTGCCAGAGGGTCAGGTCGGAGTAGGTTCTGGCTGCATGACACGCAGCAACTGCTCTGTCTGTGGGAGACACCCTTTCATCTCATGGGGGCAGCAGCGTTTCTCTTCTGACCTCCAGGTGCCTTTATTACTTCTGCTGGATCCCATCTCACATGCATTGCAGGGTTCTGGCAGGAGGGGCCTTCGTAGCTGCCATAGCCCACATGCTTCTGATCGGAGGTGCCTGTGCTGTGTTGGTTTAGAAGCTGAAATACTGCAGTGGTCATACTGGCGGGATGGGGTGGTGAGCCAGGAGGCCCAACGTGGTCTTTCTTTCCAGCTGTCAGTCTCCGCTGCTGCTTGACCCCCAGGGCTCAGGCCCTCTGGAGTGTGAAGGTGCCAGGGACCGGGAGGAGCTCCTGGAAGGAAGCAGGCATGCTGGTAATGAAGGCACTACCCCAGGAAGGATCTCCTCATCGCGCCCCCACACCCTTCTCCCTCACTTGTCCACGCTTCCAGCCATTCCCACACCCAGGTGATAGTAAGCCGATCTCCCTGCATAGCAGGGAATGTGGCCAGGGTCGGCAGGGGCATGTCCTTTATAGCATTGATGTGTTCACTCTTAAGACCTACCCATGTCAGTCCTAGTACCACAGCCCTGTGCATTTGCCCCAAGTCATCTTTATTTCTGTATTTCTTTACTCTTTTTCCCTAGTATTGAAAATTAAATACTCAACTCTCCTCTCTGTGTTTAACAGAAACTAAATGGCATGGCCCCCCGTGCAAAGTTCTGAGTTCCTATAAAGAAAGAGCCCTGCACAAAGATGGAAGCTGCAAAGATTCTCCCAATAAGCTTTCTCATGTAAGTCTTCTGTCCATAAACCAGCTGCTCATGTGGGGAGCTGCGCACCTCAGCTGATGGGCCCAGCATACATAGTGTTTGGGATTTTTAGCGGGATCCCAATCCTTTCTGAAGTGTGGAGCTGAGCTTACAGCTCTCCTAGAGGTGAGGTTGACCTCCCTCTTGTACCCCAGTGCCAACCCAGGCCACGTCACAGATCAGCGGCCAGTCCCAGATGGCACATAGCCTGCACTCCTTGAGCTCAGTGATTTGTTTCTGCATTGTGTTCCTGCTTTTAAAAGCTGGCCTCACACTCACTGAGAGTGGGACGTGGAGATAGTGCTGTGTGGTCGGAGGTACGGTGCAGCCAGCAGACCCTTCCCGCACAGTCAGACATGACTCATAGTGACGTGGAGGCCAGCGAGTGTGCACTGTAGAGACAGTGTGGGGGTGATCACAGTGACGTGTTGTGAGTAACATGTGTGCACTATGGGGGCGGTGTTGGGACAGTCACAATGACATAGGGGACGTGTGTGCATGGTGAGGATGGTGCTGATGTGATCATGGTGATGTGGGGTGACATGTGTGCACGGTGGGGATGGTGCTGGGACGATCACGGTGACGTGGGGTGACGTGTTCACTGTGGGGACGGTGCTGGGACGATCATGGTGACATGGGGTGACGTGTGCACTGTGGGGACGGTGCTGGGACAGTCACAATTACATAGGGTGACGTGTGTGCACTGTGGGGATGGTGCAGGGACGATCACGGTGATGTGCTTACGTGTGCGCACTTTAGGGACAGTGCTGGGAGATCATGATGAAGGAGTGACATGTGTGCACTATGGGGGTGGTGCTGGGACACTCACAGTGAAGTGGGGTGACGTGTGTACTGTGGGACGGTGCTGGCATCTCCCATGGATGTTTGCTTTACTTTTTCCAACAATTTGAGGTGGTGAACCTCAAAGGTGATTATTGCTCGAGGAAACAACTTTTCACCGGAAACCTGAAAGAGGAATCTAGATAGCTAACCTTTTAAAGTTATTTTAAAGACGTTTTCTGAGCCCCTGGTCCAAGTTGTTTCTTTTCCTTCCTGGGGCATCGGGCATGCTGTACTTTGTCATGAGGCAGTGCCAGGGTCCCGCTCAGATCCCTAACAGTGTTTGAAGCAGAGGGAGCAGGAGGAGGCTTGGGAGTGTGGATTCCCTCAAGAAAGGAGTGAGGCCTTGCCGAATAATGTGAAAGCGGGGAGTCAGAGAACAAAAGGCGGCCCACATGGCAGGCACCAGGTACTTGCCTGCAGATTCCTCTGCCCGCAGCTCCGGAAAATGTTCTTGTCCCTGGCTACAAGTAGGTGGTTTCTGCATGAGCACAGTGACAGGCTTGATGTTCATTCTGTTGTGTGTTTGCCTTTTTTCATTGAGGAAGCCCTCATGACTGACTGTGAGAACCTGTTCCACCCAGGGCACCTGCCTCCCCGACCTGGGGCGTGAGGTACCGGTCTGTCCGTGGACACGCCTCCCTGTAGCGTGCTCTGCGGCCACAATGTGCTCAGTACTGAAGCACTGATGGTGGGCATGTGGCCAACCCCGTTGGGACGCAGGCCCAGGGTCCCTGACTCGTTCAGGACTGGCATGTGATTGTCATGGTTGTGTTGTGTTGCGAGCTGTTGCTGTGCATGCCTGGGTTAGATAGCATCTGTGGATCCTGGTTAGTCACATGGTGGCTGTTCTATGACTGTGGATCAGTGGTCAGTGAAGACGTGAAGGGAGAATGCCCGCTTACAGTAAGTCGTTGGCAGAGTTGTCAGTCGGGGCCCAAGCCGTACGCTCTGCCTCCTGACACTGGAGAGCGAGTGGCCAGGGAGGCTTAAATGGAGATGGTCGAGTTAGCAGTTTGCCTCCTGGATGAGGAAGCAGTCAGGAGGAGCGAGGGCGGCCCACTGGAGAGCTCTCTGTCTTTTCCCATGCAGATAGGAGACAAGAGCTGCTCCAGTCACTCGAGCAGCAACACGCTGTCTAGTAACACCTCGAGCAACAGCGACGACAAGCACTTCGGCTCTGGAGACCTGATGGACCCAGAGCTGCTGGGCTTGACCTATGTCAAAGGGGCCTCGACAGACAGTGGCATCGACACCGCGCCCTGCGTGCCCACATCCCTGCTAGGGCCCCTGCACCTGACGGGCAGCAGGTCCATGATCCACGGCCGCGAGCAGTGGGCCGACCCCACGGACGTCACAGGACCTGATGGCGAGCCAGTGAAGCTGTATGCAGTTCACAGCTACTCCTCCGCCCTCTCCATCAGCCACACTGCCGAGGGCAGCCTGGGCGACCTCAGTGAGGTGTCCTCCCATTCCAGGTGAGCACATGTGTGCGCAGGCAAGCACCCATGCATGCAGGAGCAGTCATACTCGCAGGCGAGCACTATGCAAGCAGGCGAGTACCGTGCATTCAGGTGAGCACTGGCACTCAGGTGAGCACTCATGCATGCAGGTGAGTACGAGGTGAGCACTCATACACCCAGGTGAGCACCAAGCTCTCAGCAGCCAGGTTCTGTCCAGCTGGGTATGTGATGCTCTTAAGGCCTGCCTGAGTTGGTGTATTAGCCAGAGCCTTGAGCATACCTTCAACATGAGCAAAAGATGGGTGGATCACCTGCCAGCCTGGCTTCAGATGCCAGGCTTGTCTCTAAAATCTAGTTGTGAATGTTTGCTCATTAACTAAAGCATGAGTTTGTGGCTTGACTCTCCTTTTTCCTGATATCTGAGTGAAGACCAGACACAGTAGTTTCTCGCTCCCAGTGCAATCTGCCAAATGATATTCCAACTTCAGTGGGCATCTCAGCTCTGTGTGTGTATGTACTTCATTCTGTACAAGAAAAGAGCTTGCATTGTTGTCTGTTCCATAGCCACTCACTGCAAGACGAGGAGGAAATGAGAGTGTGCTCAGAGTAAAGTTGGGCACTTTTCAAATAAAGGCTAGCTAAATTTGAAGGCAGTGTATTCCAAGCGTAGATGTTTAATATATGCTCATGAATGGCTTTACACAATACATGATATTTATCAGTACATCGGCTTTATCATCAATACATTCCCTTAGTGTCTGAACAAGAACTGCATTTACCCGTGTTTGGCTGTATCTAGAATTTGCCTGCTGCTCACCAGCTGTGCATCTTGTTGCCAAGCCGTGCCCTGATTCAGCTCTGAGCTCCTCTTTGACTTTCCTAGCATGCTTAAATTCTGGGGACAGAGCTGGAAGAGCAGGCAGTGGGGATCCTTTCCCCTTCTCTGTACCCTTTAACACTCCCCTCCCAGCTGTGTCCAAGGCAGACCCTCCCTCTGCCTCACAGCCTCCTACTTCTCAGAACAGGGCAGCCAGGGACACTGACTGAAGATGGGGCTTATTAGATGAAAATCAGTGTTGTTTGACTAGAGGAAGGGGCGTGGATGCTACACAATAGGAACTATGTGTGACTACGTCACCTTTCAGCTGGGCAGGAGACGCATAGGTTATCAAGATTATTTTTTTTATTATTTCTTTTTTCAAGATTATTTTTAAGATGGACATTCCTACTACATTTTACACTCCAAATTAATCTAATTTAAAATAAGTTTAGCAGTAAATAGCTAAAATCATACTCAAGGATTATCCATGACTTCAGTTACCTGAATTATTCCTACCTTAATTTCTGGTGCAGTTGAAATTTAACCCTAGTAAAAACACTGGGTTTTATAACTCTCTAATGTCTTGTTTATGGAGCTCTTGTTGTTGTTCTTATGTGCCGTCGAGTCGTTTGCGACTCATAGCGACCCTATGTACAACAGCCCTAAACCGTGCTCTATCCTGTGCCAATCTCATTGCCTCTGACACAC